TTCCCCCCTGGCGTCCTTTCTGTCTGTCTGCCCGTCGTCCGTCGGGCCGTCCGCCCGTTGCTTTGGTTTCCCGGAGCTTTAAATTAAATTTCCCTTTTGGGCCCCAAAATTTTTTAAAATTCATAGGATGTTTGTCCTTTTGGGGTTTAAAAGACCCCTTTTTGTTTTGGGGTAAAAGGTCAAAGGTCGGGGTACTATTCCCTTTTAAAACTAAAAACGGTTTTCCCGGAGCATAATTAAAGTTCCATTGCCCCACAATTTTCCAAATTTCTAGGATGATTGTCCTTTTGGGGAAAAAGCCCCCAAATTGTTTTGGGATCCAAGGTAAAGGTAAAGGCCCTATGCCTTCATCTAAAAAACTTTTTGGGAGCATTAACTTAAGTTCCAATTGGCCCACAATGTTTCAAACTTCATAGGATTTGATTGTCCTATTGGGTAGAAGACCCCTATTGATTTTGGGGTCAAAAGGTCAAAGGTCAAGGTCACTATTACCTTTTATAACTGAAAAACAGTTTCCAGAGCATAACTTAAGTTCCATTCGACCACAATGTTCAAACTTCATAGGATGATTGTCCAATTTGGGAAGAAGGACCCCTTTTTTGGATTTTGGGGTCCACAAGGGGTCAAGGTCAAGGTCACTATTGACCTTGATACTGAAAACAGTTTCCGGAGCATAATTTAAGTTTCCCCCCCCAATAATTGGTCCCACAATGTTCAAACTACATAGGGATGATTGTCCATATTTGGGTAGAAAAAAAAAATAAAAAAAAAAAAAAAAAAAAAAAGACCCCTATTGATTTTGGGGTCAAAGGTCAAAAGGTTCAAGGTCACTATTACCTTATAACTGAAAAACAGTTTCCAGAGCATAACTTAAGTTCCATTCGATCCCACACTGTTCAAACTTCATAGGATGATTGTCCATATTGGGTAGAAGACTCCTAATTGATTTTGGGGTCACAAGGTCAAAGGTGAAGGTCACTATTACATTGATACTGAAAAATATGTGTCCACGGCATAACTTAAGTTCCATTTGACCCACAATGTTCAAACTTCATAGGGATGAATTGTCCATATTGGGTAGAAGACCCCTGTTGATTTTGGGGGTCAAAAAGGTCAAAGGTGAAGGTCACTATTACCTTGATACTGAAAAACAGTTTGCCGGAGCATATGTTAAAGTTCCATTTGCCCACAATGTTCAAACTTCATAGGATGATTGTCCCATATTGGGTAGAAGACCCCTATTGATTTTGGGGGTCAAAAGGTCAACGGTTAAGGTCATCCTTACTAAAAAAAAATACTTTCGGGCATATAATGCTCCGCCTAGCGGTGCTCTTGTTTACAAATTTACTATGAAGGGCAAGTAATTCTGCCAAACTCTTTTGCAGAATTATGTCCCCTTTTCTACCTTCCTTTATATCATGCAATTCAGCACTGAGTAAAATGGAACTGTAGATGGGTCTTATTTTGATAATTTGTCTAATTAATGCCATTTGTACTCTAATACATGTAATACTTCAACTGGTCATCTTTCATCTTGTTGATGCATCAGATCTTACTTATGTTGACCAATTCTTCTGTATTTTACTTGTAGGAGATCTTTATGGTTCATTGAAAAGTGGTGTTGTAGTGTGTGTTTGTGTGTTGATCTCACTGGACACAGATTCAATCATTCAAGTGAGGGTTTCAAACAAAACATATTTTGATAAGTAACTAGTAAAAAAATAACAAACTATATTCTGTAAAGTTTTTAGAAGGAATTTAATTGTAATTGGTATCAATAGAACAGTTTTTGTTTAAGTTATAGTAAATATTGAAAGTTGTCTATTGATTAGCAGTTAGCACAGAAAATTTAAAAGTCAGTATTTATTGATTTGAATAAATGTTTGAAGCAGTTTACATTTTGTGATGTGCATGCTGTTATGTTAACCCAAGTTTCCTTTCAGTCAACTCTTTACGAAAGGTGGAGTGCGTGGAGATTCGGCTGACATTGTCATGGATGTACGAGGATGTGGATTGTTGATGTGTAACATTTGGTGAAGTTGGAAAGTGACCTGAGAGGGATCATTGGTAGATTGTGTTGTATGTGTGTGTGCTAGTAGCGAGGACAGATATTTCATCATCAAGAGAGAAGTTTTAATTAACTTATGTTTGTTTTCTTTTTTCATGTTGACCAAGTAGCACCACAGACGTTACATAGTAAAAGTCTTTTATAACTATAAAAGTTGAAAAGAATTTATTAAGATATAATTAAAAGTAAATTATTCATCAGGTTAGAAACTTTATTTAAAATATAATGTAAATGTAAAGTTACTTGCTTTTCTCTTTATTTAAACAAGTTAGCAACTTGGGGCTGCTAAATGGTGAGTTTATGATAGATGATATTTTGCATTAAATTATCCAGACAAGAGGTAAAATATTGAAATGTTTTTAGTCACACAGAATTGTAAAAAGAGGTAAAATATTGAAAAGGTGTAATATTGTATTTATTGTGGAGGGAGGGATATACAAAAATGTGAATTATGAAAAAAATGTTAGATCAGATTGATATTGTGTATCGTAGTGAATTGAATTAGAAAGATGGTGAAATTATCTCGTAAAAGTGGAAGGAATGTGTTGTTGAAAGTGAAATGAATGGAACAGACAGGATACAAATGTCTTGAAATGAAAATATTGTGAAGTGTGAAAATGTTTACGTAAATGAAATTCGGACATTCTTGAAAGTTTACTGCAGTTAAAAATGGAGTGTCATGAAATATGAAAGAAATGATTGAAATATCTACAAGAGGTCAGCAATATACATTATGTTAAAGTGAAATATGAATGAAAGTGAATGAAAAGGGGAAAAAATATACATGGAAATTGGAATTGAAAAAAATTAATTGGCATCGAGGAAATGGAAAGAACTGGAGGAGAATGATAGATATTTGTGAAAAGAGAATGAAATGAAATGAAATTTGGAAGTGAAAATGAATGAATAAAAAGGAAGATAATTTGGTAGAGAAAAGATTGAAATATTTGAAAACATACAGTCGACTCTCGTTATCTCGAAGTCATTGGGACCGTCCAAAAAATATCGAGATAACGAAATGTCGAGATAAACATATTAGGGTTAGAATAAAGCGAAACTAATTTTTACAAAAGACATGTGCATACCTTATGTCAAATAAACTATAATATCCCTATGTCTTGTTTTCATAGCACTAGTCAATATTTGACAAAGTAACATTAGCGGATGTTTACCAGCGGAAAAACGGGTGTCTGTGATAAAAACACATAGTGAGGTTTACTCAGTAATACACCAATATAGTGAATCGGATATCGGATATGGTTGATTCGGATATCCTCCCGGGTTATTTATCGGGTCTTTCTCGAGATTGTTCGACCGCTGATTGATTTGGTGGTGATGTTGTGAAACAATATTGCAATGATAGCGTTTCTATACTTTTACTTTTTCATTTACATTTAAAGTCATAATGAATTGATACAGTGTTCGAATACTTACAAAGAATGTAAAATTCACTCATTTTGGACATAAGTCAATCAACACGCTATATAGATTAATTTTTATAAAAACAGCTAAACTTGTTACAAACATAATCGGCATTATGACACGCGCTGTTAATTGAGCAATCATCGTCTAGATTGTGTTTTTCACAAGTCTGACGGGAACAGACAAAAGAAAACTATTAGTCGAGATAAACAAAGGATGATAGTGTGAAAATAACTGTTGGGGCTGAAATTTTACATCGAGATACTGAAAATATCGAAATAGAAATATCGAGATAAACAAATATTTCCAATATAGATAAATAGGGAAGAAAATCGGGACTTTCAAAATTTCATCGAGATAACGAAATATCGAGAAAAGCGATGTCGAGATAACGATAGTTGACTGTAGTTGAAGTAGATATGAAACAAATTGACTGCTAGTCAATTTCAGGTTTCCTGGCATCTGTGATTGTTGATTGTCTGCATCTCCCCATCATAGTATTTCCATGTAGGGGAAGTGCAGACAAGACAGGTTTTCTACTTTACTTTCTTTACTTTCTATCTGACTAACTCATCTTTACAAGCTGTTCTTATCTTAACAAAGTGCTCTTCACTTACTGACCTGAGACAAACTTTTGTAGTAATCAACTATTGATTCTACCTGACAAACATTGACCAAGTTTAGTCATGACAAACCTCCCTATCTTGTCTCACTTGGCCAAAATGTTCCTGACTAAGCCTTTGTGATGACATTGAATTTTGACTCTTCCTTTATATCAGTGACTTACTAGTCATGTCAAACCTCTCCATCTTGTCTAACTTGCTTGGCCAAATGGCCAAATTGTTCCTGAATAGCCTTTGTGATGACATTGACCTTTGACTCTACCTTGATATCAATGACCTACTAGTCAAGACAAACATCCCCATCTTGTCTAACTTACTTGGCCAAATTGTTCCTGAATAGCCTTTAATTTGTGATGACATTGACCTTTGACTCTACCTTGATATCAATGACCTACTAGTCATTACCAGTCTGCAACTAGGCCATGGCTTTCCCTAATTACTGATTGGACAAGCTTTTTTGACCAATTGACTTTAACTACATGAATAACCTTAAGGCCCAACCTTAGGCCAAAAACTTTCTCCGGTTATTGGTCAGACAGGGACATTTGATATAGAAGCTCTTAGGCCCTTGAATGGGGGGAGAAGTGTAGCAAAACCAAAAACGTGTGACTATCTAAACCTTACCATGTACAGTAACTGACAGAGCTTCAATCAAATGTTTGACAATCCCTACACTTCTCCTAATGCTGCCTAGTTTTAAAACAGCATACTCCCAGATTCATATTGTTTTAATGGGGATTATTAAATGTCCTGTGATTTAGACAAATGTTCAGATTTGAAGTTATTTAGAAAATTTTAAACAGTACATAATACTATTGCATTAATAACTGGTAGAACTAGTAAAACAATATGTTATGTCATGGGTTTATGAACGACATAAATATATATGTGCTCTAACTATGTTTATTATCTAAACTATATTATATGATACATGTGTTTACATATCAGTGTCCGCGATGGTAGTATATTAAGATCTAGGGAACTCTCTATTATAAAGGAGCTGTACGCACCTAGAGTATCATGTTACAGTTTACTCATCATGCTACATCTTCCATCTTTTACAAAATTACTGTTATATTTAAACATAATTTTATCATAAGTATAACCGCATAGATTATTTGAATAACGCTTAAATAAATTCAAGAAAGAAAGACTTTATATTAGATGATGATTACAGTAACATATAGTTAATAAATGTTCATTATCATGAGTCGTTTACAACATGTACTAATCATGATTAATACTGTAAATTTCTTCATTACAAACAATCACTGTCTATTTACAAGTCTGTTACAGCACGTGGCTTCACCTTTCTGCCTGCGCGAGTGAAATAATTAGCATTATCCGGAGGATTCAAAACCACAGGCTGTTTATTGCTATCGGTACGCTCTGACCCTACGTTAATCATTCTGTCATTAACTGACATTTCAAGGCCAGAATTCAAAGCACCATGTGTCAATAAAGGCGATTCTTTAGATTTCAACAAATCTTTACGATTTCTGCGATATTGTTGTCCGTTTTCTGTTTCAACAATATAGGACCTATCGCTGTGATTTTTTATTACAACAGCGGGACTCCAGGACTTGTCTAGACGTTGAATTCTAGCGGAATCTCCAACATTTAAGGGAGACAGAGGTTTAGCATTTTTATCATAGTAATGCTTAGATTTGACCTTGGATTCTGCGATTTTTTGTTTGACAACATCAGGGGGCGGTACTTGTGGTATAAGGTTTTCCCTTACAGTGGGAAGGATAGAACGAAGTTGTCGTGATTGGACTAACTGCGCTGGACTGAAATTTCCTATATCAGCGAGAGGAGTAGAACGATATTCTAAAAATCCTATTCTCGGATCAGAATTATCATCTTTTGCCTTTTTAAGTATACGTTTGGCAACTTTAACCATCGCCTCAGCCAAACCATTTGTTTGGTTATGATATGGACTACATTTTACATGTACAAAATCCCATGACCTTGAAAACTCCTCAAATTCTTGACTAGAAAAACATGGACCCCCATCAGTGACTATTTTCTCACATATGCCCCAATGTGACATGATATCTTTCATGTGGGAAATAACAGTTGAACTTTTTATGTTCGAAAGTTCATGAACTATGGGATACCTAGAATAGTAATCGGACATGACCATGAAATTTTTCTCATTAAGTGAGAACAAGTCACACCCTGCAATTTGAAACGGATAGTCTGGGATTTCAGAGCTGATTAATGGCTCCTTCTGTTGCGATGACCTGTATTCCAGACAAATCTGACATTGATTTACCATTTCAATTATATCATTTGAAATTCCCGGCCAAAACATTATTGACCTTGCTCTACTAAGACATTTTTGCGCACCCAGATGACTGGAATGCAGCACCTTTAACATTTCAGATCTGAGTGACCTGGGCATAACGATTTTTTTCTCCTTTCATTATTAAACCATTAACCTCAGATAACTCATCCCTATAGTTCCAAAAGGCAGCAATTATCTGATGACAAGCCTTTTTGTACTTAGGCCAACCAAACTTTATTGTTTGTTGTAATGTACATAATTGTTCATCTTGTTTTGTTTGTAACCTGATTTCCTCAAGTTTTCTATCTGACACGGGTAAAGATGAGATAACCATGCAAACGTGTGCCTCAATACCCTCATTAAGTTCTGGGCTTGTTTCCGGACTGGCGTTTCTGCTAAGTCCATCTGCTAATGGGATTTTCTTACCGGACATGTGACGAAACTGAAACCTATATGGAGTTAATTTCAAGACTAAACGCTGCAACCTAGCAGGTATTGAATGCATAGGCTTTTTCAGCAATCCCTGTATAGGGAGATGGTCATTTTCTACAGTGACATCACGGCCATAGCAGTACTGATGAAATTTCGTAAATCCAAAGACAATAGATAATAATTCTTTAGAAATTTGACCCATATTCCTCTGTGATTCAGTTAAGCTACGGGACGCAAATGCTATGGGACGTTTTTCCTGAAGGATTACTGCCCCTAAAGATTTGGAAGAAGAATCAACTTGCAATGTCAAGGATTTGTTTGGGTCATAATAAGCTAAACATGTGTCCTTACAAATGACTTCTTTCATTTTTTCAAAGGAATCACTTTGAGGCTTTTGCCACGTGAATATAGTGTCCTTATGCAATAACTCTCTCATAGGAGCGGTAATCTCTGATAAATTGTCAGAGACATAACGACTGAGATAATTAACCATGCCTAATACCACCTGTAGTTCACTTTTTGATGTGGGTGGTCTCATATCCTTAATGGCCTCAATTTTGGCGGGATCGGCCTTTAAGCCTTCTGCAGTTAACACGTGACCAAAATAACTAATCTCGGTGAGACCTACTTCCAACTTTCTGGAATTGAAACGAATGCCTTTGTTCAAAGCACGTTCAAGGACAGCTACTAAATTTCGGTCATGACTTTCCCTCGTGGAACCCCATACACAAATATCATCAACAATTGTAGCTACCCCTTCGAGACCTATCAGTGCCTCTTCAAGGGCGCGAACCAAAAAATCACCTGATACGTTTAATCCGTATGGACATCGAAGATACCTGAAGACCCCCAATGGACTGTTAAATGCAGTCAAATATGACGACTCTTCAGATAATTGTATTGACCAGTAAGCACTAGTTAAGTCCAATTTAGTGAAATACTTTGCATTACCAAACTTATGTAATACGTCATCAAGTGTTTTGAGCGGGTAGGGTGTACGCTTAATTGCACTATTAAGCGAACGAGGGTCTAAACAAAGACGTATATCGCCATTACTTTTTTCAGTAACAACTAAATTATTACACCATTCAGTGGGTGTTGAAATCTTAGCAATTACCCCCATTTTTTCCATTCGTGTAAGTTCCTGTTTCACTTTATCTTGTAAAGCAACTGCAATCCTACGGGGAGGATGAACAACTGGTGTAGCATTTGAGTCAACATGAATGTTACATTCCCCAGGGAGTAACCCTATGCCATCAAAAACGTGGGCATAATCCGTCAAAAGGGACCCTTTAGTAAGAAATGCCTCTTTGTTTCTATGATTATAATCATTTTGTACAGAATGAGCGAATTCTATGAGCTTAAAGCCCAAGCACGACTCGCAACCTAATAGTGGTGGGGATTTCGTGTCTACGACATGAAACGTGACATTTTTTGCTTGACCTGAAACAGCATGAGAACAAGGGAGAGTGATTTGCCCTTTGCTATGCAAGGAATTGCCATTGTAGGCGGTCAATTTAGATGTGGGCTTTTCAAGTGGTGCCTTGATTCCTAAACCTTGAAAGGTAGATAATGGCAAAATGTTTACCTGAGAGCCAGTGTCTAACTTCATTTGCACAGCCTTTTTACTATTTCCAATTAATATTTCTGTAAACATCTGTCCATTTTTTACTGTTACACAGTCAAGACTGTCCACATTTTCTACACAGTCAATGTATAATTCTGAACTTAAATTTGAAATTTCATTCACTGTTCTAGATTTACAAACATTGCTCCAGTGATTCCATTTTTTACAATTGTTACATTGTGTGCCTTTTGCTGGACAACGCTGCTTGTCAGTATGTTGATTTCCACACCTGTTACATTTTGTACTGTGTGAACGTTCCCCAATGCGACCTGGATTGCTTGATGTTTCTTTATATCGACCTGGATTCATCGATGAAGGGTTCCGTGACGGACGACCTTGGATGCCCGATGAACGGCTAGGCATCCGTCCCTTCGGTCTTGATACTGCATGTACCGGAGCACTTTCTTGGACGTTATTGAACATTTTTATTTGAGATGCAGCATATTCAAATTCTTGGCACAGTTTTGTTGCCTTGTCTAATTTCAGATCTTTCCCTACTTGCAAAAGCCTTTCTCTCAATTTCGTGGATGACACACCAAATATAATTCTATCTCTGATCATGTCATCTTTCATTGTTCCAAAATCACACTCTGCAGCCTTGTTTTTTATTATTGTGATGAATTGTTCCATAGTTTTTTCGCCTTGTGTGATATTATTGAATTGATAGCGGCTAAATACTGGGTTAATTATGGGAGCGATGTGTTCTCGGACTCTTTGGAAGATCTTTTTTGTTTCTTTTCTATCTGCATTAGATAAATTGGCGGCTCTATATATTTCTCTTCCCTTGGCACCCATATAAAGCAATAGCATTGTAACATGGACATCTTCCTCTTGCTCTTTCAAGGGTCCTTTAAATACTAATTCACAGTGCTCTTGAAATTTTGCGAATTCTTCTACAAGATTGGTTGATGTCCAGTCCATTTGAGGTTGCGGGATACCACTTAAATTCATTTTTTTTTTATAATATTCCAGCACTTAAGGAAATGTTAATGTAATATTCCAACAAGAAGGAATTATAGTTTATGTCTGTCCTTTTTTTTAAAGAATGTTTAGCACATTTATTAATATTCCGTCATTAGGAATGATTTTCCTTTTAATATAATATTCTTTCCTTAGGAATTATAATTAAACTATTTAAAATATTCCGTCTTTAAGAATTATTATCTTTCCAGTTCTGACACCATGTTATGTCATGGGTTTATGAACGACATAAATATATATGTGCTCTAACTATGTTTATTATCTAAACTATATTATATGATACATGTGTTTACATATCAGTGTCCGCGATGGTAGTATATTAAGATCTAGGGAACTCTCTATTATAAAGGAGCTGTACGCACCTAGAGTATCATGTTACAGTTTACTCATCATGCTACACAATATACCTAAATGTGTGCAGTTTTAACTACTAGCATGTCCCAGGCCATGGTAAAAGCAGAGGGGGAGAAATAAATCTTGTATTTGTGTTATTTTACATGTTAAAAACTAAACATTTTTTATGTTCAGTAATTGGTTTGTCTTCCATCTTCATGATGTGTGAAGTGATTATTAGGCTGCCAATTTAATATCACTTGCCCATTACCACTGTGGGTTTTAAATCATCAAAGACTCTGTGAGGAAGCTATCAAGTTTGCATATGGACTGTTGATGGTTCTACCCGGGTACCTGCTTGTGCCTGAAATAAGACGGGAAGAGGCACCCAAGGTCTTATGCTGTAAAACTGGAATATTGCCATAGTTATAAACTTTATAGTTTTGATATGACTTTAAATCAAACAAACAAACAAAAACCCAGTAAACTACTGGTTTATCTAACAATGTTTAAACTTTCTGAAATTTGAATCTTTAAAGTGATTTAAATTATGTAATCGTGTCTGCATCCATTTAATAGAGATAAATTTATATATGGATTTTCAAAAAATAACATTTTACAAGCATTTTTGTATTATTATTCTGTAAGTAAGTTTAGTTTTTAAATATTATACACCTAACAGCTACAGGTATGCCTCGTAAGAAATAACAACCTTAAAAATTGTTGCTACATAAGTTGTAACATTTCTTTTCCAATTGTAGGTCTGACCATGGTTTTTAAAGTGGATGTTATGTGTTAGCAAGGATTAGCTGTAAATGTATCTGATTCTCTTTAGAAAGGCAAGTTAATAAACTGCTTTTAAAAGTTCATGACCATGTTTAAAATCTTGTCCCCTGACTACTCATTAGAGAGATCTTTTTTTTAGCAACCCTGGCCTCGAGGTTGTAATACTTTTTGGGGAGGCTATGCCGACCCAATGTTAATAACTATCCGTCAAATCTTACTGCCGCGGTAATCAGGTCAAAAAATAGTACCTTGATTTTTTCTAAGCTGACTCATCACTCATCACAGAAATTTACAATATGAAAATATTTTCATTCTTTAATTTCATATCTGCAATTTGTAAAGATAATAATTATCTGAAAAATTCTTGATTTTTGTTAAAATCACTACTCCGTGACGTCATACTGCCGCGGTAATCAGGTTTAGGCATACATACGTCTGTAATAAATAGTTCTGGTATGAAAACCCTTCTACATAATAACTTTATCAATATTTTTTTAACAAAAAGCATAAATGAAAATTTATAAGTAAATGCTTTAATTAGGTGGCAAATATTCTTTATTATTTTTGATAACAATTTTCCAATTACTACGCAGCGACCAACTGTTTATGACGGGTCATTAACTAGAACGTTGCAACACCGTAGCCTCAATATCATGCATGTTCTTTTGTTGATATAAACCATTAATAGTCCTTAATATTTTTTAAAGACAAATAATGGTAAATTGTCGCTTACATCAGAGACATGGATCAGGCTTGCGTGATAACTAAGGAAAACTAACTTATTAGTACACCCTAGGAGACTGTACGCGGAAAACGCTCATAAACTGCTATATCATATAGCTGTAAAGTGAACAGAAATGACAGAAATATGTGGTCAAATATGTTTTAACAAGGAAATAACTATTTCAGAGAAAGACGCAAAGATCAGTCTTCAATCAAATGAATGACCCCGTATTGTGTAATTAGAAAGCTTATTCAATTCTAGGGCAACGCATCATAATTTGATATTCCATGTGTAATAAAATTCAAATTTTCAATACAGATTATGAGATACATAAAAAATATTAAAGAATAAGAAGCTTAAAAAAAACAACAACAAAAAACGCATATATATACGAATGTCTTACAGTCGAGCATCGGGAATTCATCAACATATCTTACGAAACTTTAATTTGAAAACGATATTTGCGCGCGCTGAAGTGATTAATGTTTATTTGAATAAATCAAATAAAACAACTTATATGTTTGTGTTCTAAAAATAATCGGCGGCATA